CTAAATAACAAGCATGTTGTGAGAGTCAACTAATTAACCAGCATGTTGTGAGAGTCAACTAATTAACAAGCATGTTGTGAGAGTCAACTAAATAACAAGCATGTTGTGAGAGTCAACTAATTAACAAGCATGTTGTGAGAGTCAACTAATTAACAAGCATGTTGTGAGAGTCAACATAAATAACAAGCATGTTGTGAGAGTCAACATAAATAACAAGCATGTTGTGAGAGTCAACTAATTAGTGATGTTTCCTTTGAAGGTGGAGTGCATCTGCCTGAGAGGTGAGAAACCAACAGTCTGCATACAAATAAACCAGATTTGTAAAATGGATGTGTACGCAACAATCTGGTTCTGGATCAAGAATAAAGTCGAGAAGTGGATGAATAACCAGAATTTTCTGCGGGAGCTAACAGCCGGTGAATAGAAAGAAGAACTGGTGGGTTATGAGGAAAGAAACGAAAAGGGCATGATTTAAAAAAAAAAGTCTTTAAGCCTCACAATTTGCTAAAAAAAAAAAAAAATTTTGTAAATAATGGTTTCTTGCACACACAAGTCGACAAGCACACACAAGTTGACAAGCACACAAAAATGTTGATACTAAAGCAGGCATACCAAAATGTGTAAACTACATTGGCTACTTCTTGTCATTTACAGTGAAAAAAGCAGACACTGATACTGTTCTTCTTGTTTTTTCTGAACCTCAGACATATCTTGATACATATCCTGATATCAGATCTGAAACAATCACATCAGGTTTCTAAGCCTTGCCTTAATGTTTTTATCAAACCAGATCAAACGACTGGAAGCATCTTACAAAACTAGGACCTGCTTATTTGATGAAAACATGCAGAAGATGTTACTGAAGCAGCTACACATAGGTGTGCATAAACAAACAATTTCATCCAAACCAGTGCTGATATAAAGGTGTGCCTACAAAATGTAGGTCTAGTACCACAAACCAGTGCTGATATAAAGGTGTGCCTACAAAATGTAGGTTTAGTACCACAAACCAGTGCTGATATAAAGGTGTGCCTACAAAATGTAGGTTTAGTACCACAAACCAGTGCTGATATAAAGGTGTGCCTACAAAATGTAGGTCTAGTACCACAAACCAGTGCTGATATAAAGGTGTGCCTACAAAATGTAGGTTTAGTACCACAAACCAGTGCTGATATAAAGGTGTGCCTACAAAATGTAGGTCTAGTACCACAAACCAGTGCTGATATAAAGGTGTGCCTACAAAATGTAGGTCTAGTACCACAAACCAGTGCTGATATAAAGGTGTGCCTACAAAATGTAGGTCTAGTACCACAAACCAGTGCTGATATAAAGGTGTGCCTACAAAATGTAGGTCTAGTACCACAAACCAGTGCTGATATAAAGGTGTGCCTACAAAATGTAGGTCTAGTACCACAAACCAGTGCTGATATAAAGGTGTGCCTACAAAATGTAGGTCTAGTACCACAAACCAGTGCTGATATAAAGGTGTGCCTACAAAATGTAGGTCTAGTACCACAAACCAGTGCTGAATTAAAGGTGTGCCTACAAAATGTAGGTCTAGTACCACAAACCAGTGCTGATATAAAGGTGTGCCTACAAAATGTAGGTCTAGTACCACAAACCAGTGCTGATATAAAGGTGTGCCTACAAAATGTAGGTCTAGTACCACAAACCAGTGCTAAATTAAAGGTGTGCCTACAAAATGTAGGTCTAGTACCACAAACCAGTGCTGAATTAAAGGTGTGCCTACAAAATGTAGGTCTAGTACCACAAACCAGTGCTGATATAAAGGTGTGCCTACAAAATGTAGGTCTAGTACCACAAACCAGTGCTGATATAAAGGTGTGCCTACAAAATGTAGGTCTAGTACCACAAACCAGTGCTGATATAAAGGTGTGCCTACAAAATGTAGGTCTAGTACCACAAACCAGTGCTGATATAAAGGTGTGCCTACAAAATGTAGGTCTACTACCACAAACCAGTGCTGAATTAAAGATGTGCCTACAAAATGTAGGTCTAGTACCACAAACCAGTGCTGATATAAAGGTGTGCCTACAAAATGTAGGTCTAGTACCACAAACCAGTGCTGATATAAAGGTGTGCCTACAAAATGTAGGTCTAGTACCACAAACCAGTGCTGATATAAAGGTGTGCCTACAAAATGTAGGTCTAGTACCACAAACCAGTGCTGAATTAAAGGTGTGCCTACAAAATGTAGGTCTAGTACCACAAACCAGTGCTGATATAAAGGTGTGCCTACAAAATGTAGGTCTAGTACCACAAACCAGTGCTGATATAAAGGTGTGCCTACAAAATGTAGGTCTAGTACCACAAACCAGTGCTGATATAAAGGTGTGCCTACAAAATGTAGGTCTAGTACCACAAACCAGTGCTGATATAAAGGTGTGCCTACAAAATGTAGGTCTAGTACCACAAACCAGTGCTGATATAAAGGTGTGCCTACAAAATGTAGGTCTAGTACCACAAACCAGTGCTGAATTAAAGATGTGCCTACAAAATGTAGGTCTAGTACCACAAACCAGTGCTGATATAAAGGTGTGCCTACAAAATGTAGGTCTAGTACCACAAACCAGTGCTGATATAAAGGTGTGCCTACAAAATGTAGGTCTAGTACCACAAACCAGTGCTGATATAAAGGTGTGCCTACAAAATGTAGGTCTAGTACCACAAACCAGTGCTGATATAAAGGTGTGCCTACAAAATGTAGGTCTAGTACCACAAACCAGTGCTGATATAAAGGTGTGCCTACAAAATGTAGGTCTAGTACCACAAACCAGTGCTGATATAAAGGTGTGCCTACAAAATGTAGGTCTAGTACCACAAACCAGTGCTGATATAAAGGTGTGCCTACAAAATGTAGGTCTAGTACCACAAACCAGTGCTGATATAAAGGTGTGCCTACAAAATGTAGGTCTAGTACCACAAACCAGTGCTGATATAAAGGTGTGCCTACAAAATGTAGGTCTAGTACCACAAACCAGTGCTGATATAAAGGTGTGCCTACAAAATGTAGGTCTAGTACCACAAACCAGCATTAAAAATTGGATAATAAATAAGTGATGAGAAAACAAATATATTAAAGATACCAACAACAGATCATGGGGATGTCATGCTACAGAACAAACACATAAAAGTATTGAATCATTTTTAAAACTCAAAAAGATACAGTGAAAGAATTTATGATACGCACTAGCAAAGCAACAACAGTCTTTAACAAAATATGGAGCTGCAAGTTATAAAGCTTTAAGACCGAACTATGAATCTTTATTTCCAATGTATTTCAGTTGTGACATATGCCAGCAAAAGTTGGGCAACTACCAAAAATATGGAACAAAAGTTATTTGCATTTGAAAATAAATGTGCTAGAAAAATCATGAGCATAAAATGGTATAAATTAAAAAATGTGCGAAGTTCAGAGAAATGAGTGGACACATACTTGTATCGGCTGCAATAAAAAAATATAGAGATATATTGTGCACATTCTGATATGAAATAAGCAAAGAATTACCAAAGAAGCAAAGAATTACCAAAGAAGCAAAGAATTACCAAAGAAGCTTGAAATGGAAAAGATTAAGAGGATGTCCAAGGGAAACATTAAGAAGAATCTCATTACGAGAAACTCGAAATACTGGACTGAACTCCATGTCAGACATCAAGAGAGTTGTATGCAACTCGATTGCGAGCCCTATGTAATGTACAAAGGCAAACAAAGGATTATCATGATGATCATAAACCTGATGTGCCTCTAAGGTGAAAGGTGTCCTAGACTTATTATCTTGACTTGGCCTAGTGGTGATTTTCTGGGTCTATGGCGATCAGTCACCTCATGGGTGTGCTACAGCAAAATGACATCACCTTAACATTTCAACAATGAACAATAGATAAAAAGAAGAAGTGGAACAGGTCAGAGTTACAAGAGTAAGATCACAAATATAAAAACTTTGCAGTGACAAGCAATTGATGACGAGCAGATGAAAGGACGTGATGCTAAATAAATAGAATGATTAAGTTAACTCTATGTTTGGAACTGAAAGCAGTAAGAGAAGTCCACCATGTTATCGGGTGACAAAAAACTTGGTAAGAAGCTCAGAACAAAACCGAATTAACATCATCATCACCATCAGGTACCGCACTGTTATGTCATGTTTTAATACAATCTCTAGAATCTCTTTTTCTAATCCTACCAGTCATTACCAAATCTTGAGCCCGTTCTTTCTCATAACTTGACTAGAGAAAAAAAAAAAAAAAACACACACGCACGCACGCACGCGCGCGCACGCGCGCGCGCACGCGCGCACGCACGCACGCACGCACGCACGCACGCACGCACGCACGCACGCACGCACGCACGCACGCACGCACGCACGCACGAAAGCACGCACGCACGCACACACACACACACACACACACACACACACACACACACACACACACACACACACACACACACACTCATGTACTTACACAGCACCCACATACAAACATACACACACCCACACTTACAAATACATACATACATACATAGGACAGGATGAAATGGACATACATTTGCATGGAGTGGAAAAATTAGGAAGGGAATTCAGATAAGGGACAAAATGATTACAGACAGGTGAAAAGTTGAGTCTGAGAACAAGAAGACGGAATACATGTGATGCAACAATGGACCTGAAATTCCACGTTCAAATTGTGGAAGATTTTTAGTTCATGTGAGCGAGTCTTGCTGGTCACAATAACCACTGACATCAACTGGATTCTCATGCCTCCCTTTTGTAAAATACAACACTATGTGGGAAGACGGAAAGATGGTAGCAATAAACAGTCATCAATATTGATAAAATGAACTTCCTCGACTGACCAAGCATTAAAATATAAAAGTATAAACAAAAACAGGAAATGTTGAACTTGTAAAAGTCGTCACAATCTTGAAGTCATTATAAATACCGGTTGCTGAATGTGCAGGAAGAGATACCAGCCGTTCATTAGTTCTCCATTCCAAAAACGTTAGGAGCATTCAAGAGGACACCCAGAGTTCCACTGAGGGAAACCAGGACAAAGATGATCATAAGAAGTCGATCGATGACGGCTGCCAGGAACTTCCAATCATCCAGAACCTGTCAGATATTGTTGAAGATGTGTTGGATATAGATTAGGATATGTTGTTTATTGTTGTATTTGCATTACATGATGATGAAGATGTGCTGAAAGTTTATTGAAATACAACCACATTAATGAGTATGTGTTGCATATTGTCACACCTGTGCTATATATTTACATACCCGTATATTGACATACATACACTGATTTATGTGTCCTGTACATTGATGTTTGTGTACTGTACATTGATGTATGTCTCCTGTACACTGATGTATGTGTCCTGTACATTGATGTTTGTGTACTGTACATTGATGTATGTCTCCTGTACATTGATGTATGTGTCCTGTACATTGATGTTTGTGTACTGTACATTGATGTATGTCTCCTGTACATTGATGTATGTGTCCTGTACACTGATGTATGTGTCCTGTACATTGATGTATGTATCCTGTACACTGATGTATGTCTCCTGTACATTGATGTATGTGTCCTGTACATTGATGTATGTGTCCCGTACATTGATGTATGTGTCCCGTACATTGATGTATGTCTCCTGTACACTTATGTATGTCTCCTGTACACTTATGTATGTCTCCTGTACACTGATGTATGTCTTCTGTACACTGGTGTATGTCTTCTGTACATTGATGTACACACCAGTTTACATAAAAGCCCATGTGTAAGTATTATATGTTCCTAGTGTAACCAATACAACATGTCTGGACTGGATTCGTTACACTAGGACTATACTAGGTATATAATCTTACATCATGATCCTAGCAGGCTATATCTTGCATCATAAACCTATTACAGAATGTCAGTACATTACTTCACACATCACATTATGATCCTTTCTCATTAGGTTAGTCGGTTCTGTGGCTAAGTTGATGCGACCGCTTTGTAATGTGGGGATGCTGGGTTCGATCCCAGCTGCGGGCCATGCACCTTGCACTGGTTTCGGCAGTGGTATCAAGAAAGCCGACCATCCAGAAAGCAATGGCAAACTACTGGACGTAAATTTGCCTGCAACATCCTGTAAAGGATACGCAACTAACCTCATTAGGTGACATCATTATCCCTTTACTTCACATTAAGATAATATTACATGACAACGCATGTCAATAGACTTTCACTTCACAATGAGGCAGCTGAGACTGGCATGTTGCTAAGATGATCACAGAGAGCTCTAGGCAGCTCTTGGTGGTGCACTACTACATGTGATTCAGCAGCTCTCCATCCAGCATGCCCCCTGAGTCCTGGTGCACCACTACATGTGATTCAGCAGCTCTGCATCCTGCATGCCCCCTGAGTCCTGGTGCACCACTACATGTGATTCAGCAGCTCTGCATCCTGCATGCCCCCTGAGTCCTGGTGCACCACTACATGTGATTCAGCAGCTCTGCATCCAGCATGCCCCCTGAGTCCTGGTGCACTACTACATTTGACTCAGCAGCTCTGCATCCAGCATGCACCCTAAGTCCTGGTGCACCACTACATGTGATTCACCAGCTCTCCATCTTGCAGAGATACACACCCATGTTGGATAAGCCCTGTTCAAAAAATATTTCTCTCCCCAGTACGACTCTTTTTTTTAAACACTGATATTATTTATCTAATGCTGTGTTGTAACATAAATGTTTTTTTTTTTTAAACTACCCTTTTCATTAGTTCCTCCTTTTATTAATGTTTTTACTTGTATTGTAGATTGAAGAAATGTGCTGATGAAAACTCTCTAGCCAGAACGTTCACTTGTTATTTGCATTTGTGATATTGTAAAGCTGAAAGGTTCCACTTGTTTGTCTGGTTATGAGATAATGATGGTCTGATATCTTTTCATGATGTTCTGTCTGAAGGTCTATCACTTCACACTAACTATCTACAGTGAGACGACATATCACTTCACACAAACTATCTACAGTGAGACCACCTATCACTTCACACAAACTACCTACAGTGAGACCACCTATCACTTCACACACACTATCTACAGTGAGACCACCTATCACTTCACACAAACTATCTACAGTCAGACCACCTATCACTTCACACAAACTATCTACAGTGAGACCACCTATCACTTCACACAAACTATCTACGGTGAAACCACTTATCACTTCACACAAACTACCTACAGTGAGACCACCTATCACTTCACACAAACTATCTACAGTGAGACCACCTATCACTTCACACAAACTATCTACAGTGAGACCACCTATCACTTCACACAAACTATCTACAGTGAGACCACCTATCACTTCACACAAACTATCTACATTGAGACCACCTATCACTTCACACAAACTACCTACAGTGAGACCACTTATTACTTCACACAAACTATCTACAGTGAGACCACCTATCACTTCACACAAACTATCTACAGTGAGACCACCTATCACTTCACACAAACTATCTCCATTGAGACCACCTATCACTTCACACAAACTATCTACAGTGAGACCACTTATTACTTCACACAAACTATCTACAGTGAGACAACCTATCACTTCACACACACTATCTACAGTGAGACCACCTATCACTTCACACAAACTATCTACAGTGAGACCACCTATCACTTCACACAAACTATCTACATTGAGACAACCTATCACTTCCCACACACTATCTACAGTGAGACAACCCATGACTTCACACAAACTATCTACAGTGAGACCACATATCACTTCACCCAAACTATCTACAATGAGACAACCCATGACTTCACACAAACTATCTACAGTGAGACAACCTTTGACTTCACACAAACTATCTACAGTGAGACCACCTATCACCTCATACAAACTGTCTACAGTGAGACCACCTATGACTTCACACAAACTATCTACAGTGAGACCACCTATCACCTCATACAAACTGTCTACAGTGAGACAACCTATGACTTCACACAAACTATCTACAGTGAGACCACCTATCACTTCACACAAACTATCTACAGTGAGACCATCTATCACCTCACACAAACTATCTACAGTGAGACAACCTATCACTTCACACAAACTATCTACGGTGAGACAACCTATCACTTCACACAAACTATCTACAGTGAGACCACCTATCACTTCACACACACTATCTACAGTGAGACAACCCATGACTTCACACAAACTATCTACAGTGAGACCACCTATCACCTCATACAAACTGCCTACAGTGAGACAACCTATGACTTCACACAAACTATCTACAATGAGACCACCTATAACCTCATACAAACTGTCTACAGTGAGACTACCATTGACTTCACACAAACTATCTACAGTGAGACCACCTATGACTTCACTGAAACTATCTACAGTGAGACAATCTATGACTTCACACAAATTATCTACAGTGAGACAATCTATGACTTCACACAAACTATCTACAGTGAGACAATCTATGACTTCACACAAACTATCTACAGTGAGACAATCTATGACTTCACACAAACTATCTACAGTGAGACAACCTATCACTTCACACAAACTACCTACAGTGAGACCACCTATCACTTCACAGAAACTATCTACAGTGAGACCACCTATCACTTCACAGAAACTATCTACAGTGAGACCACCTATCACTTCACAGAAACTATCTACAGTGAGACCACCTATCACTTCACACAAACTATCTACAGTGAGACAACCTATCACTTCACACAAACTATCTACAGTGAGACAATCTATGACTTCACACAAACTATCTACAGTGAGACCACCTATCACTTCACACAAACTATCTACAGTGAGACCACCTATCACTTCACAGAAACTATCTACAGTGAGACAATCTATGACTTCACACAAACTATCTACAGTGAGACAATCTATGACTTCACACAAACTATCTACAGTGAGACGACCTATCACTTCACACAAACTATCTGCAGTGAGACTACCATTCCCTTGTAACATCTTCTCTTCTACTGTATCTGAATAAATAAAACATACTCCTCATTGTGAAAGCCTTTAAAAGTTTACTTACCATGTTGTAATCTTCTTTATTTCTTGTCTGGTGACAGATAAATTTAATTGCATTGCAGGCACTATAGATATCTTTTGTCAGGATAAGTGGCGCTGATCTTGTGATGAGTGTATTATCAGATCCTGCCACTTCTTGGGGGTCTTTATCATCATCCAAGCTTTCATCTGATTGGCTAATTGCTGAATCTCTTACAAAACAGTGGTGGCCATTGCTAGGAAGGTTTGGTGGTTGATATCCCTGCATCTCATACGTTGGACTGTCTGTGAACATAGACATAATCTTAGACAGTTACATGTTTTGTTTTGTTTGTGAAAGACCACTTTCATTACATACAGGTAAGTTCTCCACTCTTCTTCAAATATTAGCACAAGGAGGTACTGAGAACTGTGCACAAAATCAGCGGTACTCATGACAATTTTAAGTGCATAAACAAGAAAACAATGTTGCAGTTAACTAATCTGGTATAATGTAGATGTTAACCTGGTAAATTGTTCTAGAAATTAAGCTGGTATTTCGTTGTAGTAAGCTAGCCTAATATATTTTTGTATGCTGGCCTAGTATATTGTTTTAAGCTAGCCTAGTATATTGTGGTTGTAAGCTAGCCTATTATACTGTTGTAGTAAGCTAGCCATATTGATGTAGTAAGTTAGCCTATTATACTGTTGTAAAGTTAGCCTATTATACTGTTGTAGTAAGCTAGCCATATTGATGTAGTAAGTTAGCCTATTATACTGTTGGAGTAAGCTAGCCTATTATACTGTTGTAAAGTTAGCCTATTATACTGTTGTAAAGTTAGCCTAGTATATTGATGTAGTAAGTTAGCCTATTATACTGTTGTAGTAAGCTAGCCTAGTATATTGATGTAGTAAGTTAGCCTATTATACTGTTGTAAAGTTAGCCTATTATACTGTTGTAGTAAGCTAGCCTAGTATATTGATGTAGTAAGTTAGCCTATTATACTGTTGTAGTAAGCTAGCCTAGTATATTGGTGTAGTAAGTTAGCCTATTATACTGTTGTAAAGTTAGCCTATTATACTGTTGTAGTAAGCTAGCCTAGTATATTGATGTAGTTAGTTAGCCTATTATACCATACAAGCTAGACTAGTATATCGTTGTTGTAAGCTAGCCAAGTATACTTTTTTGTAAGCGAGCCTATTATACTGTTGTTGTAAGCTAGCCTATTTTATCATTGTTGTAAGTTGGTCTAGTTTAATAATGTAGTATGTTAGCATATTATTCTGTTGTTGTAAGTAAGCCTAATATACTTTAGTTGTAAGTTAACCTGATGTATTGTTGTTGCAAGTTGGTCTGGTATACTGTAGTCAGCTAAATGATGCTCTAAAATATAACTGACCGTCTAATGAAAAGCAACTTCCTGATGTGGATGAGGACATGGTGGCACCACTAAGACCCGCAGAGTGGCTCTGACTAAACTTTTGCCTCCACTCTAGAACTCTTTGAGCTTCCCTGTGGATTACAAATTGTAAAGATACTAGTTAAAAGACAGACCAAGAATAATTAAGGAAAACATTAAATCATTTGTATAGTTTTTAGTTAAAGCATTCAAGAAATTAGCAGGAAAATATACTAAATATCATATATACACAAGATCTCTAATCGACAACGTTCTACAAACACTAGAACCACAATGTAAACACCAATACATTAGAAGTCATCTCTGTAACAGTGCAATGGTCTTTTTTTTATAGATGAAACATGTTACGATGCAAAATTGTTCCACAAACCCATTTGTTACAGAAAACATCACAAAGAATGTTATGAGTGGTGTTTGATGACTTCTACTGCCTTCCCAAATATTCACCTTTGCAGTTTTCCCAGATATGGGCGAACACCCCAGCGAACTATGTCCCAGGTGCCTGCTACAAGAAACTGACACCCGACCGCGCAGATACATCTTGTTTTTGCCGTCCCTTCAACGGACCCATCAATCTGAGGGTTTAAGGTAGATGCACCATACAGTGAAAAATAAAGCCAAACAGAAATCCAGACCGAGGTCAGCTAGCTAGCCACTAAAGAATCGCTGACTACCATTCTGTCAGCCAGCCTCTGATACTTTCCCCACATCACACTCCACGTTAGTTCACACACACAATGTTCCTGGCACTGTCTTACAGATCCCCTCGTCAACTACGTGTCCATAGCCGCACACTGACCATGCCACAAACACATGGGCCGCAGAACCGTCCATTCTGGAAATTACACAGACAGAATTTCTAAGTCTATCTCACAATCCACCAAACTTATTAGACAATTCCCATGAGCTTAGACAGAATACAACCACCTTGTTAAAACACACCAGACAAGAACAACTCATGCACGAACACGTCCGCACACTGACTGAGAGCACTCATTGAAACTACCATGGGACTTTTCACCTCCGCAGTTAGGCACATGTGGATCTCATTTTCTTACCAACACTCAGGATTCACGACCCGTGTGCTATTGACCCACACGGATCACAGAATATACATAATGTCCCCAAGTTTGTCATAAATTTCAAGTGACACATATACACTTCAAGTGACACATATAAACTTCAAGTGACACATATACACTTCAAGTGACACATTTAAACTTCAAGTGACACATATACACTTCAAGTGACACATATAAACTTCAAGTGACACATATAAACTTCAAGTGACACATATACACTTCAAGTGACACATATAAACTTCAAGCGACACATATAAACTTCAAGCGACACATATAAACTTCAAGCGACACATATAAACTTCAAGTGACACATATAAACTTCAAGCGACACATATAAACTTCAAGTGACACATGTTTTCCGCAGTGGCTCAAGATCCACTAAGTTCTAGTGACCCCCAAATGTTTACATTCTCAACCTGTCAACACACAGCCCTGGCTTCATTAACTCTTTATAAACTTGAATAGCAAAGTGAGTTCAGCACACGACACTGCATCTCTGTTGCAGCAGCCACTCCAAGGCGCTTCTACCATTTGTTCCCAGGAGAGGCTGGTTACAATGTTGTCTCTCGCCTATTTCAGCCTCAGAGGTGGCATAGTCATGCTCCACCATGCTTTACTCTCATGTCAAGTGTTAGTGTCAGAGATTTGATTATCTAGCTTAGTCCATACAGCATTGATAACATTTGCTCTATCCATGCTTTACTCTCATGTCAAGTGTTAGTGTCAGAGATTTGATTATCTAGCTTAGTCCATACAGCATTGATAACATCTGCTCTATCCATGCTTTACTCTCATGTCAAGTGTTAGTGTCAGAGATTTGATTATCTGGCTTAGTCCATACAGCATTGATAACATCTGCTCTATCCATGCTTTACTCTCATGTCAAGTGTTAGTGTCAGAGATTTGATTATCTAGCTTAGTCCATACAGCATTGATAACAATTGCTCTATCCATGCTTTACTCTCATGTCAAGTGTTAGTGTCAGAGATTTGATTATCTAGCTTAGTCCATAAAGCATTGATAACATTTGCTCTATCCATGCCTTACTCTCATGTCAAGTGTTAGTGTCAGAGATTGGATTATCTAGCTTAGTCCATACAGCATTGATAACATTTGCTCTATCCATGCCTTACTATCATGTCAAGTGTTAGTGTCAGAGATTTGATTATCTAGCTTAGTCCATACAGCTTTGATAACATTTGCTCTATCCATGCTTTACTCTCATGTCAAGTGTTAGTGTCAGAGATTTGATTATCTAGCTTAGTCCATACAGCTTTGATAACATTTGCTCTATCCATGCTTTACTCTCATGTCAAGTGTTAGTGTCAGAGATTTGATTATCTAGCTTAGTCCATACAGCATTGATAACATTTGCTCTATCCATGCCTTACTATCATGTCAAGTGTTAGTGTCAGAGATTTGATTATCTAGCTTAGTCTGTACATCATTGATAACATTTGCTCTATCCATGCCTTACTCTCATGTCAAGTGTTAGTGTCAGAGATTTGATTGTCTAGCTTAGTCCATACAGCATTGATAACATTTGCTCTATCCATGCCTTACTCTCATGTCAAGTGTTAGTGTCAGAGATTTGATTATCTAGCTTAGTCCATACAGCTTTGAAAACATTTTCTCTATCCATGCTTTACTCTCATGTCAAGTGTTAGTGTCAGAGATTTGATTATCTAGCTTAGTCCATACAGCTTTGATAACATCTGCTCTATCCATGCCTTACTCTCATGTCAAGTGTTAGTGTCAGAGATTTGATTATCTAGCTTAGTCTGTACATCATTGATAACATTTGCTCTATCCATGCCTTACTCTCATGTCAAGTGTTAGTGTCAGAGATTTGATTATCTAGCTTAGTCTGTACATCATTGATAACATTTGCTCTATCCATGCTTTACTCTCATGTCAAGTGTTAGTGTCAGAGATTTGATTATCTAGCTTAGTCCATACAGCATTGATAACATTTGCTCTATCCATGCCTTACTCTCATGTCAAGTGTTAGTGTCAGAGATTTGATTATCTAGCTTAGTCCATACAGCTTTGATAACATCTGCTCTATCCATGCTTTACTCTCATGTCAAGTGTTAGTGTCAGAGATTTGATTATCTAGCCTAGTCCAAACAGCATTGATAACATTTGCTCTATCCATGCTTTAATCTCATGTCAAGTGTTAGTGTCAGAGATTTGATTATCTAGCTTAGTCCATACAGCATTGATAACATTTGCTCTATCCATGCTTTACTCTCATGTCAAGTGTTAGTGTCAGAGATTTGATTATCTAGCTTATTCCATACAGCATTGATAACATTTGCTGTATCCATGCCTTACTCTCATGTCAAGTGTTAGTGTCAGAGATTTGATTATCTAGCTTAGTCCATACAGCATTGATAACATCTGCTCTATCCATGCTTTACTCTCATGTCAAGTGTTAGTGTCAGAGATTTGATTATCTAGCTTAGTCCATACAGCATTGATAACATTTGCTGTATCCATGCCTTACTCTCATGTCAAGTGTTAGTGTCAGAGATTTGATTATCTAGCTTAGTCCATACAGCATTGATAACATTTGCTCTATCCCTGCCTTACTCTCATGTCAAGTGTTAGTGTCAGAGATTTGATTATCTAGCTTAGTCCATACAGCATTGATAACATCTGCTCTATCCATGCTTTACTCTCATGTCAAGTGTTAGTGTCAGAGATTTGATTATCTAGCTTAGTCCATACAGCATTGATAACATTTGCTCTATCCATGCCTTACTCTCATGTCAAGTGTTAGTGTCAGAGATTTGATTGTCTAGCTTAGTCCATACAGCATTGATAACATTTGCTCTATCCATGCCTTACTCTCATGTCAAGTGTTAGTGTCAGAGATTTGATTATCTAGCTTAGTCCATACAGCATTGATAACATTTGCTCTATCCATGCTTTACTCTCATGTCAAGTGTTAGTGTCAGAGATTTGATTATCTAGCTTAGTCCATACAGCTTTGATAACATCTGCTCTATCCATGCTTTACTCTCATGTCAAGTGTTAGTGTCAGAGATTTGATTATCTAGCTTAGTCCGTACAGCATTGATAACATTTGCTCTATCCATGCTTTACTCTCATGTCAAGTGTTAGTGTCAGAGATTTGATTATCTAGCTTAGTCTGTACATCATTGATAACATTTGCTCTATCCATGCTTTACTCTCATGTCAAGTGTTAGTGTCAGAGATTTGATTATCTAGCTTAGTCTGTACATCATTGAAAAAATCTGCTCTATCCATGCTTTACTCTCATGTCAAGTGTTAGTGTCAGAGATTTGATTATCTAGCTTAGTCCATACAGCATTGATAACATTTGCTCTATCCCTGCCTTACTCTCATGTCAAGTGTTAGTGTCAGAGATTTGATTATCTAGCTTAGTCCATACAGCATTGATAACATCTGCTCTATCCATGCTTTACTCTCATGTCAAGTGTTAGTGTCAGAGATTTGATTATCTAGCTTAGTCCATACAGCATTGATAACATTTGCTCTATCCATGCCTTACTCTCATGTCAAGTGTTAGTGTCAGAGATTTGATTGTCTAGCTTAGTCCATACAGCATTGATAACATTTGCTCTATCCATGCCTTACTCTCATGTCAAGTGTTAGTGTCAGAGATTTGATTATCTAGCTTAGTCCATACAGCATTGATAACATTTGCTCTATCCATGCTTTACTCTCATGTCAAGTGTTAGTGTCAGAGATTTGATTATCTAGCTTAGTCCATACAGCTTTGATAACATCTGCTCTATCCCTGCTTTACTCTCATGTCAAGTGTTAGTGTCAGAGATTTGATTATCTAGCTTAGTCCGTACAGCATTGATAACATTTGCTCTATCCATGCTTTACTCTCATGTCAAGTGTTAGTGTCAGAGATTTGATTATCTAGCTTAGTCTGTACATCATTGATAACATTTGCTCTATCCATGCTTTACTCTCATGTCAAGTGTTAGTGTCAGAGATTTGATTATCTAGCTTAGTCTGTACATCATTGAAAAAATCTGCTCTATCCATGCTTTACTCTCATGTCAAGTGTTAGTGTCAGAGATTTGATTATCTAGCTTAGTCCATACAGCATTGATAACATTTGCTCTATCCATGCTTTACTCTCATGTCAAGTGTTAGTGTCAGAGATTTGATTATCTAGCTTAGTCCGTACAGCATTGATAACATTTGCTCTATCCATGCTTTACTCTCATGTCAAGTGTTAGTGTCAGAGATTTGATTATCTAGCTTAGTCCATACAGCATTGATAACATTTGCTCTATCCATGCCTTACTCTCATGTCAAGTGTTAGTGTCAGAGATTTGATTATCTAGCTTAGTCCATACAGCATTGATAACATTTGCTCTATCCATGCTTTACTCTCATGTCAAGTGTTAGTGTCAGAGATTTGATTATCTAGCTTAGTCCATACAGCATTGATAACATTTGCTCTATCCATGCTTTACTCTCATGTCAAGTGTTAGTGTCAGAGATTTGATTATCTAGCTTAGTCCATACAGCATTGATAACATTTGCTCTATCCATGCTTTACTCTCATGTCAAGTGTTAGTGTCAGAGATTTGATTATCTAGCTTAGTCCATACAGCATTGATAACATTTGCTCTATCCCTGCCTTACTCTCATGTCAAGTGTTAGTGTCAGAGATTTGATTATCTAGCTTAGTCCATACAGCATTGATAACATTTGCTCTATCCATGCTTTACTCTCATGTCAAGTGTTAGTGTCAGAGATTTGATTATCTAGCTTAGTCCATACAGCATTGATAACATCTGCTCTATCCATGCCTTACTCTCATGTCAAGTGTTAGTGTCAGAGATTTGATTATCTAGCTTAGTCCATACAGCATTGATAACATTTGCTCTATCCATGCTTTACTCTCATGTCAAGTGTTAGTGTCAGAGATTTGATTATCTAGCTTAGTCCTACAGCATTGATAACATCTGCTCTATCCATGCTTTACTCTCATGTCAAGTGTTAGTGTCAGAGATTTGATTATCTAGCTTAGTCCATACAGCATTGATAACATTTGCTTTATCCATGCTTCTTCTCAGATGCGTTGGTACATTGCTTGCTAGCTGGTCAACTCGCTCATTACCATTTATGCCAACATTAAACGTGATTTTTCAAATTCTTTCTGCCGTTCAGAGCGCATACTGCCTGTTGTTATCTCCTAAATCATGCTCATGGAGTCTGACACAATTACTGCATGTGAGGCTGTTTGCTCTGCTGCCCACGTTAGTGCTTTGCTGCCTACGTTAGTGCTCTGCTGCCCACGTTAGTGCTCTGCTGCCCACGTTAGTGCTCTGCTGCCCACGCTAGTGCTCTGCTGCCCACGTTAGTGCTCTGGAAGCCAAGGCTATCTCCATGGTCATGCTTGGTCAAACCTCTTTTATTGTTATACCCATTTTTGGTGCTGTAAATGCCCATGCTGACCTTGACCTGTTCTTCAGCTGTGTAGATGATGATGTCTTTTGGGTGTGAATGCCGATCTTTCAGTGCCATTACTTCTGTGTCTACGGCTGCAGGAATCTGGTTCCTTCAGTATCCTCCCCCTCCCTTTCCTCCATGTGATGACAACATTAGAAATGCCATGTATGTCTACTTGTGTATGCATCAATTATTTTCCCTGACTGATATTGTCTAGGTCACATTCTGAATTAAGTCATCAGTCTTGGCCATCCACAAGTGGCCTCTTTTGAGATGCATTCCTTTTGTATCATGCATAGCTTTGTGCAGTGGGAGGGTAATGTCTGCCGATACCCTCATGTATGCTTTGACCTGCGCATGGCATGATGTGTCTTTTGTGCAGTCAAGAATGAGCCCCATGGCCTCATTTTTTACCCAGTCCAGTCTTTCTAGCAGGATTCTGCTGACAGTGAGGAGGCCCAGACCATAGTCTACGATGCTCAACACAAGCCCTTGACAGAGAAGGAAGAGACATGACTGCAAAACAATATGACCAGTTGAACTCATTTTGCCCCATAAAATAAATTGCCTACATCCAAGATTTTATTTACTAATCAATCATCTTTGATGTTCTGATCTTTTAGGTATTTGTGTGGTATTGTTTGATTTGTGTATGTGCTGATGAAGGCTCCATAGCCGCAACGTTCAGTTTTGTTGGTATTTGTTATATTGTGAAGCTAGCTAATATACTTTTGGTTCGGTTTTAAATCTGTTCTTTGTCCATGGTATCCTGAGAATCTCTGTTATTATTATATCAGAAACCATTTCCAACTTACTGAGGCATTGTGCGAGACCTTATCAGTTCAAACCAACTGACATCCAATGGAGAAAATGGTGAATATCATGTCAGCCTTCTCTACTTCCCAGAAAATGTCATACCTACTTAATGCTAGGTCAGCCCAAGAGCTAGGTCAATTTTAATGGAGATTCAAACCCATTAAATACATGTTGGCAGGTCAGCAGATTAGCCACTGTGCTAGCATGTCCACTGTTAATCACAATGCATAAATCTGCTTACTACCTGGCACTGAGATTGGCTGTTGTTATCTTTGGCCTGACTCGTCTGGTCTCCCTGTTATCCTGGCGTGTGAAAATACTGGCTCTAGCAACCTGTCAGTGAGAAAATACATTTTTATTTCAAACCTTATGAAAAGAAAATAATAACATTTCAACAATATCTTTGCTCTTAACTTTTCTTTGCCATTTTAACTAAAGTGCTGTCACTGTTATGTATTTATTTAGCCAACAGATGTGCCCTCCAGTCAAATCTACACTCTGTGACACTATAGACAGATACCAAACAATATATTATAGAAACTAACACCCTAACAGAATATTACCTGTGCGTGTTTGGATAGTGTAGTTAAAATAATTATTGTGTGTGTAAAGACAGTGTGGTTAACATGGCTGTTAACTGTGCATAAAGCAACACTCATAGTATAAAGCAACACACACCGTATACTATACTATTTAGTTCTCACCTATGATCTCTATTAGAGAAAAACAAACGTGGGCATATGAGTTACTACTGGTCATCACCTGACTATTTTGTTTATGCTGAACATTTCTAAGAGCTACACAGATGACATGGCACACAGCATCTTTAGTGACAATAGAAATATCATTCTTTTATCATGAAAACATATCAGACTAAACAATAGGTAGAACCAGTCAGCTTCACATGATTGCAAACAAAAAATTAAATAACAATTTTGGCTAGAAAGCCCTCATCAGCACATACATTAGTATAAAATACCACAAATATGAACAGGAATACCCAGAACTACTTAATCGAGGTGCCTCCAAGAGAAATCACTATATGCCTGGCCAGTTGAATCTCTGACATGTGTGTAAACACCAGAAATAAATACAAGCTAATAAAGCTAAGAAGGGCAGGTTGATAACTCAGAAATATTAGATAAAATTGTGCTGCATGTTAAGTCCTCTAGTTTATTCTCTATAGATTAGAGTTGTCTTCAAACACCTATTTTATGATAGTGGAGAGCGAACATTAATCTTTCTCTATGGTGGTCACGTGTTGCTTTTTTAGTCCTGTTTGAATTTATTATCAGTAATGTCAGCAGATATTGTATTTAAATAGGATAACTAACTTCCATAACATGGTATGTCAATGAGAAAACTATTTATTGGGGTGTGTTATTTAGAAAAGAGAACTGTCTGACCTGAAATAGTTGAAAGATGAACAAAGACTTACCTGAGGTGTATTTGGGTAGGAAGGAGGAGGAGTGAAGCTCTTGGGTTGCCATCGTCTATCGTGGTCAGGCCGAGTCATGAATATATATTTGGGCAGTCTGCAGGAGAACAGTCACACTCAGTTGTTAAAAACAAAAAAGTAATACTATTATATAAATAACATTATCAAGTGCCATGCAGCACAATTTTTGCCTTACCACAGCTGTTCTAAACAGTAAGTTTGAGTTTTGTTGTGCTAAAATATTTGGTCAAATCTGTTTTTCTGGTAAATTCTACTTTCTGGTCAGATCTGTTTTCATGGTCAAATCTTGTTTTCCTGGTCAATTCTGTTTTCTGGTCAAATCTGTTTTCCTGTGTAAAGTAAATTTTCCAACACAAATAGCAAGTGTGAGTTCAAGGACCAAATTTTCTGGGGAAAATGGCAATATAGCTCCTGCTCGCCCACACCATATAGGCATGAAATAAACGACAAATAAATGAGGGCTTGTTAAAATAGGATATGTTGGGCAAAAGGCCCATATATTGCAGCCTAGCTGTAAACCACAACATAGAGTGCCAATAAAGATTTGCTCGGAGGCAGCAAATCTGTGATTTTCTTGGTGGTTATTGTGAATAACTTGGGCAGCTACAATAAATAATAATGACTGACCTAGACAGCTAATTAAAGTGGAACATTATATACAACCATAAGAAAACAGGTTGCCTCTCGTTCATGTAAGAGGAGATGAGAGGAAATAGGCAACACTGCCATGGTTGGGAAGATCAGTGGTAGATAGGCCTTATGGTCTTAGGCAGAAGCATGGATGAATATTATAGTAGAACTGATGATCTGGTATATCAGAGACAAAGATCTGTGAAGACACAAGACAGTCTATGTTTTTGTCAAGTTGCATGTTAAATTTAGATTAGGTAGCTATGTAGGCAGGCAAGCAGGTAGATATAGACACACAAAATCAAACATATATATATATATGGATAAGAAAATATATAGACATGAAATATCTCTAATATCCAATGTAACCATGACAAGACTGCAAGAACAACAAGTTATAAAAGGTGTGGCCAGACAGGAGCGCTATAAAGGAAGTCAAAGAAGAATAAGAAACCAACACAGAACAGATGCCATGAGCCGCTACACACTGCGGGACTTACTGTGGAGAAAATCTGAGCCCTTTTGGACTGAATAGTCGATATGCAATAGGAATAATCTGGTAACTAACAAACAAACTAATACCCAGTTTACATGGGCAAATCAAATGATAAGCTACTCCCTGCCACAAATTAAAACCTTCCTTTCAATCAGGATTGAACACAAGCAGCTGTGCTGTAAGCAAGTGATGATCTATTGATTATACCACACTTCTTTTATTTAAAAAAAAAAGTAAAGGACCCTTTCCATGCCTTTTAGGCGTATAGGGCATATAGGGCTAGACCTATTTTTTTTTTATAGACCAACGGCACAAGATGGGTGATGTGGTCAGCATCACGCCGGCCGCCTCTACTTCCCGGGATTGCACCCGGTACCCACTCAAGGCTGGGTCGACCTGGGAGCCAAGGTCATTTTTGAAGAAAAGTCCGTCTCCGCCAGGGAGCGAACCCACGACCTTCCGATCCGCGGCGCGCGTCTAGCCGCTCTGCCACAGCGACTCGCACACTTCTTTTATAGTGCATATTAAACATATACCCCCAAAAAGATAAAACTGATTTAGATCATAAATGATAACAGCAATTCTTACTTATACAAAAATAGCCAACATATCCAGCTTGGCATAATGGCCATACGTGGTGTCATGTTGTGAGCAAATATAATACAAATAGCCACCATAATCTCCAGTACGTTCATGATGAAGGTAAAGATGAAATACTTGGCAATTAGTGGGATGGACATTGATGGCGGCAAAATCTGGACAGAACAGAATACAGATTTAGGACTATTAACAAGAAAAAAAAGTTAAACAATTTTTTAAAAATCTTCTTCTTCGCGTTCACCAGGTGTACACTCTGGCAGAGTTATAATTAATGAGTAGATCATTACAAGGTGCCGTTTGGCAAGCTCTAATATATGAATTATATGGCTTGTTAATTTACTTTTAGAGCTTCTATTTTGACGAATCTTTTTCTTGTAAACAAGAATCTTCTCTCCCCCCCCCCCCCATCTCTCTTTATATATATATATATATAAATATATATATATATATATATATATATATATATATATATATATATATATATATATATATATATATATATATATATATATGTGTGTGTGTGTGTGAATATATATATATATATATATGTGTGTGTGTGTGTGTGTGAATATATATATATATATATATATATATATATATATATATATATATATATATATCCTGGTGGAGCCGGACTGTTTTAAAAAATGATCCTTGGCTCCCAGGTCGACCCAGCCTTGAGTGGGGGGTACCGGGTGCTGTCCCGGGAAAGTGAAGGCGGCCGGCATGATACTGACCACATCACCCATCTTGTGCCGATTGGTCTATAAAAATATAGGTCTAGCCCTATATGCCCTATACGCCTAAAGGCGTGGAAAAGGGTCCTTTACTTTTATTTTTATATATATCTATATATCTATATATCTATATAAATAAAAACTGCACATAAAGCAGAGACAAATTTGATCCTGAGCCATCCTCTCTATCTCCAGTTTTGTCCTTCGCGTACCCTTGTAAAGTAAAGTAAAGATCCCTTTTCACGCTTTTAGGTGTATCAGGTAAATAAGAAAAGCGCTCATATTTTTTCAGACCATCGGCACAAGGTGGATAATGTGGTCAGCATTATGCCGGCCATCTCTACTTCTCCAGGACAGCCATCCTGGTACCCATTTTAGGCTGGGTTTCTGTGACGCCCTATACCATGATAAAAATCCACACAGCCAGCAGTGGGTTTCGATCGCTGTATGTTGGAATTACGAGTGGGACTCGCAACCCCTAAGCCATGGACGCCACTTGACAGAGCAGGACTTTTATTCAAAAATGACTTGTTCCCAGATCGACCTAGTCTTGAATAGGTACCAGGAGTATCCCTCAGAAGTAAAGGCAGCCAGAATGATGTTGACCGCATCACCACCATGTGCGGATCAGTCTATAAAATTCAGGTCTAGCCCTATATGCCTAAAGGTGTGGGAAAAGGGTCCTTTGCGTTTTTGACTTTTAATTTCACACAACAAAGAGCAATATGACAGCAGTAGGATGATAGTGGCCAGGTGTACTCACTTTCTGCAGCAACACTAGCAGTACCACCAGCGACACCAGGACATTGATGACCAGCGTGATCTTCTTCCCCTTGCCAGCTGGCACGAAGAACACGCACAGACAGACAATCGCATGCAGGAAACAAGGGATGATCAGGCCTGTTTTCCTTGGAACTACATCCTGTTGATAATTTTGAAGCCGTGTCAGTTCGCCTGTTTGAAGCCGAGGTTTTGAAAGTCTGTAACATTTTCAACAATACTGTTGTTGATTGTAAATGTTGTTATAATGTTGTGATTGTAGTTGTTGACCGTAATTTTTGTTTGACATATATTTATTTTGTTTCAATTACAGAAACTGATTTAGATTTTTACTTTTTGTTTTTTTTAAAATTAGAATCCCTTTAAACTGAGATGATGGATGTGGCCACCAGAAATCTAAGTTCTAGAAACTAATTGCTCCTAATAATTAGTGGATAAAAACTGTCACAGGTCACTTCACATTTTTAAAATTTGTTGTTAATTTTGTACAAAAATGTTGTTTGCTGAGAGAACCATACCTTTCTCCCCTATGCATATTAATCCATTTTGTGTCTGGTTACTCTAATGGTTTCATTTTTTGCATGATATAAAAGTTCACTTAAGTGAGTTTTATGTAGTTGAAATGTCATATCTCTTAAGAGGTCCACAAGTTTCTCATGATGAACACAAATGAAGACCCCTGTGTGGGTTCCCGGACCCCATTGTGGGGGGAAACAAGAACAGACCCACTGCCTCCCACAATAAGCAGGCCGTAAGAATTTCTAAATGGGGGGCTTTCTTTGAAGTCAGGGTACATCTGCCTGAGAAGCAAAGAACAAAGTATACAATTAAGTCAAATCTGTAAAACGGATGTGCACGCAAAACTCAGGTTCTGGTAATAGAGGTGTACGAACAACCAGAACTCTCAGCCAAAGTTTACAGCTAGTGAATGCAAAGAAGATGAAAAAGACAAATAAAGACTGTTTGGTAGTCTTATGAAAAATGTGGAAGATTCTCACTGTATTCTCTGCCTTTCTAAAGATGGTTCTTATACTGATTCTGGTTTGCTTCTGCCTCTTCTGCCCTGAAACTTGCCTACACATCTTTACATTTAAATTCTTTCACTTCTATCCTCCTCATCATCATTAACAAGATCATTTTGCTAGCTTGACTTACTACTGCAACAGTATAACTGATAGAGCACAACTATAAACTTTCTTGTGAGACAGATGCTTTGAATGAAATATTTATGTTTCTTACCTTCACACACACACACACACACACACACACACACACACACACACACACACACACACACACACACACACACACACACACAATGCAGAACAGACATAGATGCTGGCCTAACTCCTGTTTGGATGAGATCTTTTGGTATCTTACATCAAACTTTCTAAAACAAATGTTATGATTCCGTTGTCTTTGTTATTGAGTGTTTTGTGGTGATTATTTGTCAAGTTTTCAAACTTGTTTGCATAATACTTGTTCTATCTTTTTGATGAGTCTTTATTTTCTTTTTACATTTGTCTAATTTTTCTAATTTATTACATGCAATGAAGATCCAAATGAAATTTGTATGAACATGTTTTGAAAAACTAGAACTAGTGAAACAATGTCTTTTTTCAAGTTTGGCATGGTGTTTAGGTCATTTTTAGATTTGTTTTAAATTAATTAGATGTGATAAAAAATGTTTATGTGATTTTTCCCAACCAACTGATAAGGAGATAGGTCTAAAACTGTTCTTACTTCTCTGTCATTGATAAATCTCAGCCAGATAGTGACAATAGTCTTGATATTGTGATTGGTAATACATGTGCCAAACCTGTTGCTGATAATTTAGGTTAAGATGAAAACTAAACAAAATATTTCAATCGAATCATCTCTTTTTTGATCAGCTGTTTTGCAGATTTCAGTTGTTGTGAAATCTGACATGCCATACAAAAATGGTCATAACATCCAAAGTATTTAAATTACCTGTTCAAAAAAAAAAAAAAAAAAGACTAGCTGATACATAATTGAACCAAGAAGGCATGTGAATTCTTAGATTTGGATAGCAATGTTGTTAAACAAGTAAAAAGTAAAGTAAGTACAACAATTGTTGTGTAAATAATCTTCATATGTGTCAAACATTTTTAAATGTTGCACGATTTTTATAATATTTTGTTGTAATACTGACATTTAAATAGCTAAGATTTATTTTGCACTTATTTGTCTTTAATTTGATAGATTATATATCTCTATGCACGCAATACTTTTTCTTCAGGAAGGCTTTAGTTTTTTCTTTTAAAAAAAAAAGTTTAGCTCAAAATTAATGCTGTCCAAACCACAGAAAAATAGTCGCCCTGACAAAATTAATTTTTCTGCATTTTATAATTTTTATTTTTTATTTTAATTGTTTAAAATTTGCCTCCCTTTTTTTTTGTATTTTTTTTTTTAATTGTCCAAAACTATTTTTGTTTTTGCTTAAAAAAATAGCTCAGCATTGTCTTGTGAAGTAAAACTATTAGATTATACTGCAACTAACAACAGTGGCAAGACCACAAATGACAAAATGCAATGACAGACAAAGTGACACAATATGTGTGCATCGTGCCTTTGAAATAAAATATCAGATGGTGACGAATATTGTAGCTGCTACTGACCTCTCCTGTCATGGAATCTTTGACATTGCTAATGCTACCAGGTCCGTTGAGGACATCCCATGCTCCATTCTTCATGTAATCACCTAAAATAATATTCCTCTGGTCTTTATAGAAATCGTACGTTAATGTTTTCCCAGCGAATGTCCAGGAGCCAAATTTCATTTCACAGTTCTGCCAGGTAAGAGACAGAGAGACAAACACAATATAGGTATTCAGTCTGACATAATTCAGTAAAGCATTTTTTTTAAACATTCAGTTATGTTAATTTGTAATCACTTCATATATAAATTAATCAGTCAAGACAGCACAAAATGTTTATACGTATGCCTACATGTAAATGTGGTAACACATGGAAGATGTGAAAGTTAAAGAACTTTCCACTGGCCCATGGTGTAAGGGCAATATTTTAACAGACCTGGCAGCACACAACAGACAATGCAAACAACAGCCACTTTATGTCTCAAGACATTTCTTGGCAGTCAGGCTATGCCAATCTGGCAGCCATAGATCAGTTTTAAAAATTAGCTTCACTGTGGATTCAAATTCAAAGCCTTCAGGCCATTAGGCAAGCATTGGTAATGAGCTAATCCTTCATGCAAACCTGGTGATATGACCTCCAGTGACTCATATTGTTAAAATCTTCTTGAGTCTTTTGATGTCTTGCTGTCTTGTTTTATACAGGATACTAGATTAAACCCTGTGTTTTTATTCGGTGGGAGGCCAAAGTGTTACATCAAAAGTAAGCCAATTCTCAGTCATCTATATTATCCTGAGGATAATTGGTGATAATTTGCAATATTTATTTATTTATTGTCAAGAAACATTCCCATAGTGATTTCTGCAAACTGTGGGTATATAGAACAATCCCAGGAACAATCCCTGTCAGGACTTATTCCAAAGGGCCTACAGGAAATAAGGGTTTGAATGAGTCCTTCTCAGGGTTCAAACAGTACGACCTACAGGAACCTGGGGTTTGAATGAGTCCTTCTCAGGGTTCAAGCAGTACGACCTACGGGAACCAAGGGTTTGAATGAGTCCTTCTCAGGCTTCAAGCAGTACGACCTACAGGAATCAAAGGTTTGAATGAGTCCTTCTCAGGGTACAAGCAGTACGACATACAGGAGTCAAGGGTTTGAATGAGTCCTTCTCAGGGTTCAAGCAGTATGACTTACAAGAACCTGGGGTTTGAATGAGTCCTTCTCAGGGTTTAAGCAGTACGACCTACAGGAAATTGGGGTTTGAATGAGTCCTTCTCAGGGTTCAAACAGTATGACCTACAGGAACCAGGGGTTTGAATGAGTCTTTCTCAGGGTTCAACTAGTATAACCTACAGAAACCAAGGGTTTGAATGAGTCCTTCTCAGGATTCAACCAGTATGACCTACAGGAACATGGGGTTTGAATGAGTCCTTCTCAGGGTTCAAGCAGTACAGGAACCTGGGGTTTGAATGTGTCCTCAGGGTTCAAGCAGTACGACCTACAGAAATGAAGGGTTTGAATGAGTCCTTCTCAGGGTTCAAGCAGTACGACCTACAGGAACATGGGGTTTGAATGAGTTCTTCTCAGGGTTCAAGCAGTACAACCTACATAAATCAAGGGTTTGAATAAGTCCTTCTCAGGTTTCAAGCAGTACGGCCTACAGGAACCAGGGGTTCGAATGAGTCCTTCTCAGGGTTCAAGCAGTACGACCTACAGATACAAAGTGTTTGAATGAGTCCTTCTCAGGATTCAAGCAGTACGACCTACTGAAACCAGGAGTTTGAATGAGTATTACTCAGGGTTCAAGCAGTACGACCTACAGGAATCAAGGGTTTGAATGAGTCCTTCTCAGGGTTCAAGCAGTACGACTTACAAGAACCTCTGGTTTGAAAGAGTCCTTCTCAGGGTTCAAGCAGTACGACCTACAGGAATCCGGGGTTTGAATGAGTCCTCCTCAGGGTTCAAGCAGTACAGGAACTAGTGGTTTGAATGAGTCCTTCTCAGGGTTCAAGCAGTACGACCTACAGGAACCAGGGGTTTGAATGAGTCCTTCTCAGGGTTCAAGCAGTACGACCTACACAAACTAAGGGTTTGAATGAGTCCTTGTTTGAATGTCCTTCTCAGGGTTCAAACAGTACGACCTACAGGAACTAGGAGTTTGAATGAGTCCTACTCAGGGTTCAAGCATTACAACCTACAGAAACGAAGGGTTTGAATGAGTCCTTTTCAGGATTCAACCAGTACGGCCTACAGGAACCAGTGGTTTGAATGGATGCTTCTCAGGACCACACCTTGTCAGGGCCAAGCCAATAGAGTCTACAGGAACCATAAATGTGAGAGGGTCCTCCTGAGTATTTGTCCCTGTCAGGACTTCACCAAATGGACCTATGGCAAACAAAAGTTTGTGAGCTCTCTTAAGTGATAGTTCCTTACAATATTAACACCAAAAAACAAAAACAAAATGATGGACCTAAGCATCATAATTGTAAACAAACAAACTGGGCCAAAATCAGGTGTCAGCTAAGAGATAAATACCCAGCTAACTGTCTTTGCTATAATCTTCTCTTAAGATTTAACTGGATTAACTAGGTTAAAAAAAAAAATTATAATTTTTAAACAAACTAATTAATAAGCCTACCTAATAAGCCTAACTAATGAGCCTATCTAATAAGCCTAACTAATGAAGCTAACTAATGAGCCTAACTAATGAGCCAAAACATAAGCCTAACTAATGAGCCTAACTAATGAGCCTAACTATTGAGTCAAAACATAAGCCTAACTAATGAGCCTAACTAATGAGCCTAACTAATGAAGCTAACTAATGAAGCTAACTAATGAAGCTAACTAATGAAGCTAACTAATGAAGCTAACTAATGAAGCTAACTAATGAAGCTAACTAATGAGCCTAACTAATGAAGCTAACTAATGAGCCTAACTAATGAAGCTAACTAATGAGCCTAACTAATGAGCCAAAACATAAGCCTAACTAATAAGCCTAACTAATGAGCCTAACTAATGAGCCTAACTAATGAGCCAAAACATAAGCCTAACTAATGAGCCTAACTAATGAGCCAAAACATAAGCCTAACTAATGAGCCTAACTAATGAGCCTAACTAATAAGCCTAACTAATGAGCCTAACTAATAAGCCTAACTAATGAGCCTAACTAATAAGCCTAACTAATGAGCCTAACTAATGAGCCTAACTAATGAGCCAAAACATAAGCCTAACTAATAAGCCTAACTAATGAGCCTAACTAATGAGCCTAACTAATGAGCCAAAACATAAGCCTAACTAATGAGCCTAACTAATGAGCCAAAACATAAGCCTAACTAATGAGCCTACCTAATGAGCCTAACTAATGAGCCTAACTAATAAGCCTAACTAATGAGCCTAACTAATGAGCCTAACTAATGAGCCAAAACAAAAGCCTAACTAATGAGCCTAACTAATGAGCCTATATAATAAGCCTAACTAGTGAGCCTAACTAATAAGCCTAACTAATGAGCCAAAACAAAAGCCTAACTAATGAGCCTAACTAATGAGCCTAACTAATAAGCCTAACTAATGAGCCTAACTAATAAGCCTAACTAATGAGCCTAACTAATAAGCCTAACTAATGAAGCTAACTAATAAGCCTAACTAATGAGCCTAACTAATGAGCCTAACTAATAAGCCTAACTAATAAGCCTAACTAATAAGCCTAACTAATGAGCCAAAACAAAAGCCTAACTAATGAGCCTAACTAATGAGCCTAACTAATAAGCCTAACTAATGAGCCAAAACAAAAGCCTAACTAATGAGCCTAACTAATGAGCCTAACTAATAAGCCTAACTAATGAGCCAAAACAAAAGCCTAACTAATGAGCCTAACTAATAAGCCTAACTAATAAGCCTAACTAATGAGCCTAACTAATGAGCCTAACTAATGAGCCTAACTAATGAGCCTAACTAATGAGCCAAAACATAAGCCTAACTAATGAGCCTAACTAATGAGCCTAACTAATAAGCCTAACTAATGAGCCTAACTAATGAGCCTAACTAATAAGCCTAACTAATAAGCCTAACTAATGAGCCATAACAAAAGCCTAACTAATGAGCCTAACTAATGAGCCTAACTAATAAGCCTAACTAATGAGCCAAAACAAAAGCCTAACTAATGAGCCTAACTAATAAGCCTAACTAATAAGCCTAACTAATGAGCCTAACTAATGAGCCTAACTAATGAGCCTAACTAATAAGCCTAACTAATGAGCCAAAACATAAGCCTAACTAATGAGCCTAACTAATGAGCCTAACTAATAAGCCTAACTAATGAGCCTAACTAATAAGCCTAACTAATGAGCCTAACTAATGAGCCTAACTAATGAGCCTAACTAATGAGCCTAACTAATAAGCCTAACTAATGAGCCTAACTAATAAGCCTAACTAATAAGCCTAACTAATGAGCCAAAACATAAGCCTAACTAATGAGCCTAACTAATGAGCCTAACTAATAAGCCTAACTAATGAGCCTAACTAATAAGCCTAACTAATGAGCCTAACTAATGAGCCTAACTAATGAGCCTAACTAATGAGCCTAACTAATGAGCCTAACTAATAAGCCTAACTAATGAGCCTAACTAATGAGCCAAAACAAAAGCCTAACTATTGAGCCTAACTATTGAGCCTAACTAATGAGCCTAGCAAATAAGCCTACCATCTGAATACAGCTGTGTACTTGCCTGCTGATCAAATGGAAAGTATTTGACGTCAATATTGCAGGAGCTGGTGTAGATGGCAGGTGGGACAAAGTACACATCTCCACTGGCGCTCAATACCACGTTGGACTTATAAGACACTTCAAAGTTACCATCAGCACTAGGGAGATATGTTGAAGTCATTAACAATATACAGTACACACGCACACACACACACGCGCGCGCACACACACATGCACACGCACATACACACACATACAGTGGTAACTTGGGTCGCAAAGAAATTGGCCCACAAACATTATTTCTGAACAAATGTTGAGAGGACAAACTAACAAATTGAAGCACGAAAGCCTGAAGGAGGCGTTGACCAGATGGAGTGCCTGATAGAGACTTTGAGAAGAAAGACTGATCACTAGTAAACGAGATGTTGGTCATTGGTAAGAGTTTGGACTTGGAGGTCAACGAGGAGGATGTGGTGAAGTTGATTTAGGGTCTCAGACAAACACTTAAAAGAACATTACTTTTTGAGTTGCAATGTGAACAGATAGTGTAAATGTATGTGTCAAACAGACAGGTAAAGACGTAGGGAGACAGACAAAAAAGCTGTCAGGTAAGCATACAGACAGAGAGGCAGACAGACAGACAGACAGACAGACAGACAGACAGACAGACAGACAGACAGACAGACAGACAGACAGACAGACAGAAGGGACAGAAAGAGAAAGATTTACTCACTTATTAAAGAGAACTATATCCGGTACCCAGACACTGGCGTGGTCCACTTTGATCTGCTCAATGCCTCCATAGTCTGAAGAGTTCCACTGCAGTTGGTAGTCGTGCCAATACTGACAGAATAAACATCAAATCTCCAGTCACTTTATGCCTACACACCGGATCCCTTCTTCGCGAAAACATAATCCAGTCTCTCGTTCAACCCGTGAGTTTACACTGTAAGAGCATAGAACTATAACGATACACGGGTTTTCATGTCAATGAGCGGAATAAACGGTGAACCTCAAGGGCGCTGGAACCTGCAAGCTAAGGACCTTTAGACAGCAACCCTCAATAATGTTCTAATTAGCTAAGCGCCCCTGTAACTACAAATAGAACGTTATCTTTAAAAGTTGTTGTTATATATTTCACATTATTAAAAAAATTGTGTCATATATTTCACGTTATTTACAAATATATTGGTATATATTTAATATTATTTAAAGGTTGTTGTTATATATTTAATTTGATTTTAAAACGTATTTTTATGTTTATTGACCATTCGGCACATTATTATTATCATTGTTATTATTATTATTACTAGGCTCACTGAAACCCTCCCCTCGCCTGTTGCCTAGATAATACGTATTGAGGGCTTGAGTAGCTTCTCTCCTCAGAGCCCCAAATATTATCTACGTGTGGTGGCGCCCGATAGAGCATAGGTAAGGCTGTAGTTAGTACACCCACGTTTCGTCCAGTGGTTCCGTATATGAATTCCCATCAACGTCGTGTCAGTTTAACTCCTTCGGTCCCAGGGGAACACATCATATGCTTATAGATTCCTACCTGGAAGGACAGTGAACGCATGATACGTTAATTATAGTCTCTCTTTTCAATTTATCAGGGGGCGGTTTAAAAACACAAATTCACAGCTTTGAATGGTCTGTGCGGTCGCTTGTGCAGGAGTTGGGCGGCGTCAGCATAACATGAATACCAGGAAAGGTTTTGGGATTATGGTACCTATTGGCATGTTATCATCCCTATTACTCATTGTGGTGTAATTAATATGTTTTCCTATTTGTTACTGTACTTTATTTGCTATTTTTGTTTACTGGTGAAGGGAGCGTTCTTTTATACCTTTTCTGCGTTCCGCTCAGGGTTTTGCAACTCTTGACGGGACAAAGTGGGAGGCCCGTAGGGGCTGCAAATATGGTTTCTGATTTATGCCGGAACAGACGTTAACGTTTATCGCGGAAGGAGAAGACGAAAGAGGGAGGGAAGAGAGGGGGAGGGGGGGGGGGAGGAGACGGTGATCAGGTGAAGCGTGGTAGGAATGTACTGACAGCTAAAATGTAGAGAACAATTGCCAAAGAGCGTCACAGATCTACACAACGGCACAATATTGTCGGTTTGTTAACTACAGGGTGTCTGTCACAGGGAAATTACGTACAGAGTCTACGGAGAGATCCTTTATTGGCAGCCTTCACAGGATACAGATCTTTTATGGTCAATTAAAGACGGGTAGAAGATAGCGAGGCAGACATCTACTACGTTATAAAGATGTGTGCACGCGGGACATGAATGATACTGGTATTGAGGTGAACTCATGGGAACAAAATGCCATAGACCGTGTTGTGTCGAGAGGGCATCTCAGGAAGGGAATGAGAGGGAAAGAATAAATGACTGCAGAAAAGATGAAAGCTGAGCGACTGAGAAGAAACGGATTAAACACAAATGTTGACAACAATGGTCCGGAAATCCCATGCTATTCTTGTGGAAGACTTTTATTGACACGAGCGGGTCTTGCTAGTCACACTCGCCATCACCATGGGCTGTTGTGTCTTATGCCCCCTCATTGCGCAGTGAAACACTATCGTTTAGAAAGACTGAAAGGGCCAATCAATCACAGGATAGTAATAAATGTTAGCGCGAGTTTATATTTAACACTGTTGAACTGTTAAACGCCGCGTTCCAGGCTATTTGGATATGTTAATTGTTGTGTGTGAACTTGTGCGAACTTTGAGAACTACACAGAAGAAAATAATCAAAAAGCATTTGATGTATATCATTATACAAAATTACGGCCGCGGAAACAAATGATGTTGCAGGGAAAGGCCTTGAAAATGGAACAATGTCAGTGAAAGAAGAAACACACCGAATTCAGGAACTGACACAACAATAACTATGTTCATCTTCTGCCTTGAATGCCCGACAGAGAGTAGGATCCAACGGCCAAATTTCGCCAAGTCTTTCGAACCCTAAGTATATTTAGCAGCTCACTCCGTCCTCCCCCTCCCACCCAACCACGTCGGCTATTATGTTTACCATTTGTTTCCCGTCTCCCTTTACCACATGACACTGTGGTTTCCAGCGCAAAGACACGCTAATTATACTAGTATCATACACATTGTGCTCCACCCAGTACTAATGTCCCCTAATAAATGGAAATATCTACTTTAGGACAAAAGACTATGTATCATCATCATAACAGTATCACAACACTGGAGGGGAAGGAAGGGGAGCGAAGCAAGTGCTCTGTCTATCAGTTAGATCTCACTATCCTATGTGGTTAGATACACTGGATGTTACGTTCAAACAGTGTGCAACAATGAGAAATACAGTGCAACCTAGCTTAACGAGCATAATTCCTTCCAGAATAGTACTCGTTAAGCGAAACACTCGTTATGCGAAACAATTTTTCACATATAAATTAATGTAAAATACGATAATGCGTTGCATGTCGAAAAGAATTCCCACAAAATGCTATGCATAACGTTTAAAAAAAAAATTATATACATATTGTTAAGGAGAGTAAATCATCTTCCTCTTTTCTTCAAACGTGGAACGAACCCACCTTGAATGCGAAATCGATTTGCAGAAAACAAAACTAAAAGTCAAAATAATTATGATACACAGTTAATTTTTTTTTTTTTTACTAGAAAGATGCCAGAGACATTTGTTTTTGCCGAGGCTTCAAAATTTGGCCGAAAATGGGACACAGCATTGCCATTTAATAAATTTGCAGCGCTCATAGCCACTTCTTTTTTTGGGTGATGCTTCTCAATGTAAGATGCAACAGTTTCCCATGCTTTCAGCATTTCTCTTATTTCGGCATAAGTTTTTTGCCTTTCTGTTACCTCCTCCTCCTTTGACGAACTTTTCTCCAAAACGTCTTGCTGTAAAACACAATGCAACTCCATAAGCTCTTCGGTGGTCAGCTCTTGGCTGTGCTCTTCCACAAGCTCTTCGATATCACTGTTATCCATCTACAATCCCATGATAGTGGCCAAAGACACAATCTCGTTGACTACAGGTTCCACAGGTACTGTCGCGAACCCCTCAAAGTCACAAATCGACATCGCTCTCCGGCCAAAACTTCCTCCAGAAAGAAGTTAGGGTTCTCCTTGTAACCCCTTTCCCCTATCTTGTCGTTCATCTTGAGGCAGGCAACGATGTGGAAGTGATTTTTCCAAAACTCTTTGAGAGTGAGGTTGGTCCCTTTAGTCACCTGAAAACAATGCTCGAAGAGTGCTTTAGTGTAGAGCTTCCTAAAGTTAGATATAACTTGCTGGTCCATGGGCTGGAGTAACGGAGTGGTGTCGGGAGGCAGAAACTGGATCTTGATGAAATTAAATTCTTCAGGGAGGTCATCTTGTAGGCCTGGAGGATTCATGTACATATATCACGATATAACACAAGTTTGAGAAAAGGTGTGATCACAAGCGACACTACGATGCTACTGGAACGAGTGCTCAACACAGACTGATGTAACATGCGCACAATTCGGGACTTTCCCTCTCTCGCCACTTGTTATGCGAAACGTCGCTCGTAAAGCAAGTCATTCTTTTAAAATTTGTTTTGCTCGTTATGCGAATTGCTCGTTATGAGAGGTGCTCGTTAAGCGAGGTTCTACTGTACTCATAAACACACTGGCTGAGATGATTTTACCTCATATCTAACTTTCTGCAGTCGGTTTGCCTATTTCACTTCACACTGTTGTATACTATTTTTTTATGTTCTAGTGCAGTTGCTTAAGTAGCATTTCCGAATTTAATTTGTATTGTCATTCTTCTTCTGCCTCATATTCCCTAATGGAGCATAGGGCTCAACTAACTCACGTCAAGTCGGTCTAGTCTTCACTATTTCATGCTTTTCACCCATGTCCTGCCCATCTGTTTAACATCATTCTCTAGCTCCCTTCCACATTTTTTGTCTGCTTTTATTTCTATGTCTATTTCTATAGTTTGCAAAGAATTCTGCTTATTCTGTTCTCATATTTTCTAAATGTGTGTCATTTTCAATGCAAGCGTATTTTCTTCACTTTCGGGTCCACTGGAATTTGTAGTTCTTTCCCAAAGCTCTACATTCTTGATTCGATCATACCATTTTATTCCCTCTATTCTATGCAGGCACCAGTCAATGAATGTCTGTAGTCTAATCGTAATTGCCTTTGTTGTTCTCCGTGTTACCGCTCCATTTAGCTGCACTGATCTGAGAATAGAATTAAACATTTTATGTTTAGTATTAGTTTTCATTTGTTTGGACATCCACAAATGTCCTTGTGCTGGGACAGCTGTATTGTCATTGCGTGTTTGTGGCTTGCCACAGTAACGTTAAAACTTTCTATATTTCTGTCATGTTATTGTTCTAACATGCGCATAACCCCCCCCCCCCCCTCAATTATTTACCTTTTACATTCAGCGCAACAAAGATAAACGCAGGTAACGACACGCCAGATTTCTTGCAAAAAAAAAAAAAAAATTTACAAACGACATGGAATTCACATTTTTATTGTCTGTTACCATAGTAACTGCAGGCGCAACTGCCTGTAAACTCGTTGTGTTTGTTACCATGGTAACAGCGCCCGTGAGAATGAAAAATTTCAGCAAAGGAATGTCAAGAAATGCACCACACACACACACACACGCACGCGCGCGCGCACACACACACTCTCTCACATGCATAAACACACGCACCCTCACACATACATACATAGACAACCACACGCGCACAAAATAGCATTATTCTAAAGCAAGTATGCACTTGAAACTAATACAAAAGAGAAAGATATTATGGAGACGATGTATAGCAATTTTGTGGCAAAGAGAATCCATTGCGTGATTCAACAATATGC